AAGGGTCCACCCAAGTTATTTACCAGACTGTCTCTCACTTTAGTCTATTTATTAAGATTTTTCCCCTTCTTCCCATTTTTTTTTTTTTAGAGGTTTTTGCTATAGGGCGCGTGCACTCACCAGACAGACAGAGAGAGAGAGAGAGACAGAGAGATAGAAAGTGAGAAATCACCCCCCATGGGGGATGGCCACACCACAATCCCTTCTTCTCCATTCTCCTCTTGGGATCTTGGGCACGTGTGCACATGTGCCCAGCGTGAGTTTAAGCCACCGGATCCAGGACGTGAACCACGGTTGACTACGTGGGAATCCAGCAACATAGCCATTAAGCCCACTGCTGGTCCCTTCCCCTTCTTCCCTTTGCTTCTATTTGCAGACAAAAGGCAGAGTAGGACCAGGGTGAGGTGACCGCTCCTGGCCCCCTGGGCTGAGGTCTCCCAATCCTACCTGCTGTTGGAAGGGCTGGTCTGGACCAGCGGCTCCACCAGCCCCACGGTGCAGCCACCAGCAGCCCTTTGTTTTCCCACAGTAGTTGCCAACAGCTCGCCCAGCAGACAGGAGGGTGGGCCACATGGGTCCATCTTCCTGGGCCCTCCAAGGTAAACGTGTCCCACCTTCGCTGCTTAAGCACCTGCTTCACTCCCTAGCTCTGACCATTCCTCTGGGATCTCTGGGAAAACCCCTCAGGCAAGTTGGACATTAAATACTTAGAGACTTCTGACAGTTCATGGAAAAATAGAATTAAAGATGTTTTGAAATCTATGCAGTTTCGTCATCATATCTGTTTTTCCCATGAACTTTAGGTAGGCCCTTCGTGTACTACATCACAGGCTGGAAAAACTCAGGAGAAGCTGGTTAGATGCGTGGCCCCGAGGGTATCATTGGGACGTGGTTTCTGTCCCCCTCCTGACTGCCTGCTGTGGTGTGGTCTTCAGGGCTTCTCTGCTCAGGAAGGCTTTCCTAGGACGGAAGGAAAATGCCCAAGAGGTCTCTCTTATTCGCAGCCCAGCCAGAGTCCCGAGGCTGCCTCTCACTAGCCCAGTGGGTGACTTACCTGCCCAGAACCAGAAGCTGCGGTTCAGGAGCATGGAGTGGGGTGGTCAACTCGTATCACAGGCCGTATCACAGGCCCATCTTGAGAGCTGGTGTGAAAACAGCTCCCACCAAGGCATGCAGACTGAGAGTCTTAGCGAGGTTGGCTTTTCCAGGAAAATCCTAGTGTTTTCTCCAAAAGATGCAGAAATGGGTGCTGGGTGGCCAAACCCATTAACTGTCCTTCTTGCCTTCCCCAGCTGGTCGCTGGATGCCACCCAGCATGGGCCAGATGGGTGATTGGCCAGAAGTGAGAGCACTTCTGCTGGACCGACTCACCCCTTCGTGCCCCACTGTTAAGAAATGTTCTGTTTTTGTCTACCTCGAAACAAAGAGCATCCAGGGAGGGGCAGGACCAGATGGGGAGGGAGAAGAGGAGAGCCTACGGCCACGGAACCCACTCCTTTACTCACTCACCCTTCCACCTGACAAATGTTCATTGGACGTCTAGGAATTGCAAGCAACGAGTAAAATTAGGGTTTCCCAAGCTTCAGCCTTTAGCGAACCTTTTTCTGTTTTGGCCAGCAGAGGTAGAGTGAGGTCCAGTCCTAGCCTCGTGGTTCACAGGGAGACTGTGAGCCTGGGTCTGACCTCCTTCATTGGAAACAGAGCCTGGCAAGTGTCGGTGGGGTTAAGATGTAGTGGCACCAGACTGAGGCTGTCCCTGATAGAATCTGAAAATCCAGGGGGGAAATTGGACAGGGAATCGGGTGTCTCACTTGAGATCCAGGGTGTATTCCTGCTTGCGTGTGTCCCCTCAAGTCATCCTGTGTGCCGGCAAAAGGCGTGTGCTCCAGGGACGTGTAAAATAGACAGGACTCGGAATCCCATGTAGACCTTGCTCTGATGGGACTCACTCTCTGGAGGACTAAACCAAGGCTCAGGTGAACGTGCCAGGAGGTAGGACCTGACGGGGAAGGGTCCGGATGGTGGGTGGGAGATTGGAGAGGGTGCTCCAGGAGGGGCCTGGCGAAGGTAGAAAATGGTGTTCACAGCAGGCCTTGAGGCCTGGAAAGGGTTTTGCTCTCCAGAGAAGGGCCGTGGGCATCCCAGGCAGAGGGCAAACACAGGAAGGACAGGTAGGGTGGGGGAGTTTGGGGAACAGCAACGAGTCCTGACCACGGGTATGTGTTTCTGTGCCAAGTGCCACCTGCCCACTCTGGGCGTCCTGTTTCTGCTCAGGTCTTAATGGTGCCTCTCCCCAGTGCTTTTCCACCCGGGACACCCCATTTAGTTCCGGGCACTGACCTGTTCTCTGCACACTGACCCCACAGCAGCAGCTGGGCTAGGGGAGGAGTGCAGGCTCTGGAGTCACCCAGCGTGGATTTAGACTTTACCAGCTCTGGGGCTCTCTCCTTCGTGCACCGGCGGTGACCGAGCACCTCCCTCTGAAGGCTGGTTGGGAGCATCAGATGAGACAGCCTGGCACATGGTGAGCACACCGCAAACATTGGTGAGCACGCGTTTCCATATACTGCTCTACATGTGCTTATCGGGTACATGCGATTGAGGCCTGTTGGGCTTCTCAGCTGTGCGACTGGAAGCAAGCTAGCCTTCCTGAACCTCCATTCCATCATCCGAAAAATGGATTTTCCACTTCAGATGATCGAATACCAGTGACAAGGCAAGAGCCATGCAGAATGCCCTGGGCAGGTGTTTCCTCTAGCTGGTAGCTTCTGCCGCTCTTTGGGTTTACCTAGTAATTATTCAAATATCACGAACTGGGCTCCAGTTTGGTACGGGAGCCGTCTGTTCTTTACTTCCCTAATTGTCAAGATTAGTCTGCAAAGTGCTCCATTGTTGTTCCCCATTCTACTGATTGCATGGTGGTTAGGGGCACAGAACCTACAACCTGCCCACCTGGATTCAAATTCCAACTCTGCCACCTTCCACCCTTTGGGTCTTGAACAACTGGCGTAATTGCTTCATGCCTCAGTTTCCAGCTGAAATGCAGATAGGAATCTTTAATTATTACAAAATAGTATTTCTCCACAAGATTGCCATGAGGATTAAATTGAGTTAGTACGTGGGCCTCCTAGGTCGATGCCCGGCACATAGTAAGCACTATAGATGAGAGCTGTTGGTGCCATTGTTATCGCTAGTGACGTTGGGTCACCTCCTCGGTGGGAGTTGGCCCAACTCCGGTTCAGACCCCGACCTGTGTGCTCCAAAGCCCCCATTCTCTCACTCCACTGGCAGCCTCCCTCCCACTCTGAAACCCCATCCCTGGATGCTGGGACTTCCAGGGGACCCAGGACTCCCCACCCATCCACGCTGCTCGTCATTCCCAGGCCCCCTCAGACTTGCCCCAGGAGATCTGCATTTCTTAAGAAGAGGCCATGATGACCTTCCCCTTTCCTCCTAGGAGGGAGCTCTGCTGGCCTGGCTCTTCCTTCCAGACTTTTTCTTCCAGTCTCAGCCAGCCTTCCAGACCTCGAGGCAGTTTGTGCCCTTTGCCTGTGAAGTTTTTTTAAGTAAAGAGACAGATGCTCCTAGTGCAAACACAGACCGCTGTGTTCCTAGTGGCAGCCCACTGTGGCCTTTCTGAGCCTCTGCCTCCCTCCTGGGTCTTGCTCCAGGACATTCCCCCTGAAGAGCCTGCCAGCCCCTTCTTCTCACCCCCTGCCCCAAGGAGTTAGGGCTGCTCCCCTTCCTCTTTCTGCACCTCCAGGAGCCTGACCCTCTGCACCGGGCCGATGGTCCTTATTCATGACCGAGAATGTGCATGTGTGTGAGAGAGAGGCGACCACCCTCCACAGCTCTGGTCATGCTGTGATCCCTGCCTCCAGGCCTCCAGGCCACAGCATCTCGGGCACTCATCTGGGCCTGGAATGTTTCAGATGGACTGAGCTAAGATTTGAACCACAGTCACTATGGGGGATCCAAATCCATCTTCTGTCTCTCCTTTTCTGTTGTAGGGCATGTGTACTCACGAGAAAGAGAGACAAAGAGATACAGAGTGGGAAATTACCCCCCAGGGGAGATGGCCGTGCTGTAATCCCTTCTCCTCCAGTTTTGGGCAGGCACACACATACACCCAGCATGAGCTTTAGCTGCTGGGTCTGGGACTTGAACCACGGCCAACTACGTGGGAGGTCAACAATGTAACCATTATGCCATCAGCTAGTCCCTCTTTTTTTTTTAAGAGAGATTTTTGCTATAGGGCATTCACACTCACCAGAGAGACAGAACGCAAGAAATCACCCCCCCCCAGTCCCTTCTCCATTCTCCTCTTGGGGCCTTGGGCACACATACATGCACCTGTCATGAGTTTTAAGCTGCCAAGTCTGGAACTTGAACCGCAGTTGGCTACGGGGGAGTCCAGTGACATAACTGTTATGCCACCTCCTGATTCCACCATCTTCTCTTTTTATTTATTTTTTAAACTCATCTTCTCTTGAGCAGCATGTTACTATTGCACCAGAAAGCCAGCCCCTGGACCATGGTCTTGAGGCCATATGTCCATGGCTGTGTGACATCAGGCAATCATGGCCCCTCTTACAGCCTTGTTTCCTCAGCTGCACCCTCAACTGCGTACCACGTTGTCGCAGGGTTGAAGGTGCGTGGTGGTGTTCACATGTCACCTGCCCTCCTACCCAAGTTACTCCTTCCTACACAGGGCCCCCTGGGAGCGGTCCAGTTTGCAAACATTCCACCTTTCTTGGAATCCTGCGGCAACTTTCCCAAAAGGTTTATCCAGAATGGTGTCTACCTTGTTTTCATTCTTTCATATATGTGAGAGGACTTCAAAAAGTTCGCAGAAAAAATTGGATTAAAGTACAGGTTTATTTTGCTGCCAAAATTTTTTGAAATCCGTGCATAGTTTTTTCATAATATACATGTCCATGAACTTTTTGAAGACCCCACATTGGGTCATGGGTGAAGAATGACCGTTCACGTGTTTATTTCCAGTTGGCTTCATCACAGTCACAGCAGATGGCACCGGACATAGACTAGCTATGGAAAGCTATTTGGCAATTAAGTGAGGTCTTTCAAGAAATGATGCTTGTTCGTCTTTTGGTTTTCAATATTGATGTCCTGGGGCAGACATCAGTCAGCGGCTCATTGTCGGGTCTTTTCTCATCGGCTTGCATTTTCCTTAAGGAAAAGCAAAATTTACCCGTATACATTTTAAAAATATATTTTAGTATACTTTCCAATAATATGTTCTTTTGTTCTTTCAATCTACATTTTTAGGGACCGTAGAAAGAGACTACAACTAGCACTGTTCTGGAAAGAAAAATAATTATTTGTTCCTGAAGTTGAAGAGAGCTTTGTGGGTTTGTAATGAAGCCCATTACAGGTCTGACTTTTGCCAGGCTAGGATAGAAGGTTCTAGATGCCCATGTGTTACATTGGCGAGGTACTCTTTTATGGACCTGTTTTGATTTTGCTGTTTCAGTCTTCCCAGGGAAGGCTGTCAGGGCCAGTTCTTCTGTGGTTTCCAGTGTGCAATGGGGTGTGTGGGAGAGCACTGAGCTTCTAGGATGTACAGTTCTAGGGCCTGGAGTGGGGCTCTGTGCTTGGTGTCCCTGGAACTCTGTGTAAGATTCTGGTCCCAGTGTGATAAGTGTTGGGTTAAGAGACTTGACTTCAGAAGGCAAAAATAAAGGGGGAGCAGGTGATGTGGTTAAGGCACTGGGCTCCCCCGTGGCCAGCCACCAATTGCTTTCTCGCTTTCTCTGTCTCTCTTAGTGAGCTCGTGTGCCCTATACCAATTTAAAGTAATAATGATAATAAATAAAATGGGCAATTCTTTAAAATGTAGACCAAAAAAAAATACCTTTCTTCTTAGAGAGGAAAGGATGCACACGTGTCCACTGTTCTTTCGTGTGTTCAACAGAAACGAGGAGCGCCGACTGACGGCCCTGTGTTGGGTCATAGTAAGACAGCCGTGAGCCATGCGGGTGTTAACCGTGGGAAAGACACAGTCATCACGTCATCGGATACAGGGATCGGAAGTAATGGAGAAGGGGGCACTCATATTGGGTTACCTGGAAAGGCCTCTTAAAAAGCAGTGTTGGGGTCAGCAGGTGGTGTAGTGGTTAAGGCACTGAACTCCTACATAGTGAACCGTGGTTTGAGTCCTGGACCCAGCAGCTTGAAACTCATGCTGGGCGTGTGTGCATGTGTACCCAAAATCACGAGAGGGGAATGGAGGAGGAGGGATTGTGGTGTGGCCATTCCCCTGGTGGAGTTATTTCTCACTTTCTGTCTCTCTTTCTCTGTCTCTCTGGCGAGTGCACACACCCTGTAGTAAAAGTCTGTCAAAAAAAAAAAAAAACCCAAAATGTTGTTTCTTGGCCCAGCTTCAGCAGTGTGCACCAGACACTGCTATTGGCTGGGACGAGACTACCTGAGAGGCCTAGATTCTCAGACCACCCTAAGACCCAGGCATGGCTGTGTGCACTTGTAGTCTCAGCTACTTGGGAGGCTAGGGCAGGAAGGGTACAGCAAACAAGGCATAGTTTGAAACCAAAACAAAACACCCTACCTCACATACACAGACAGGTGTTTCAGCTGAGAGCTTATGGACAGGAGGAACCGGCCATGTATACCGTGGACAGGTGTGTGGACCGGAACAGGTGACAGCACCCCGGATGGTGGGACCTGCCTGGGCAAAGGCTGTGAGGTGGGAATGATGTCGCTGTGTTCTGAGAAATGAGGAAAATGATGCTGGGAAGCAGGCGACCATGCAGACCCTGAACAGCCACAACCAAGAGTTTGGATTTCATCTAGTTCGGGGAGAAGACCTTGGATGGGCTCAAGCAACTGAGTAACAAGATTGAATTGTTATTGTTACAGGGAAGGGTGCAGGAGTGCACAGGAAGGAGGGAGAAAGAACTGAGAAAGTCAACAGGTGGAGAAGGGAGGAGAGGAGCTGTAAAGTAGGGAGAGGGGGACATAAGTAGAGGGAAAAGAGCCAGTGCTGATTCCCTGCGGACCACAGTGAGACCTATGGGACCTTCTGGGGGCTCTCAGGTGAAGGTTCAAGCTATGGCCTTGAACACTCAAAGGTCAGCGACCAGCCTCCATCATGGAGGTTTCTCAGCCCGGCAAGGGAAGGCGTCGGTGCATGAGCCAGTTCTCTAAGGCATTCTTTCTGCCAGGAAGTCTTACCACTCCATGTCTGCTGATGGGACTCAGGACGTAGCTGAAGAGCACATGTAGAACATGCCATTCCGGAGAGACAATGAAAGAACATGCACTTCTTGAGCCCTGTTCTTTCTTGGGGAGGGTGCTGCACGAGGCTCACAGAGGTGAAGAGTCTGGCCCTGGCTCTCACAGTTGGGATCCTAGACCCCCATGGTTCCTAGGTCCTTGCCTCCTCTCCTGACCGTGGGGTTCCGGAATGTTGGTGTCCATGGAAACGAGGCCATGGTATGTCATGTCAGGCAAGGGTCTGCTAAGTCAGCTGGGATGGGTGCCCTGCTCTGCTCCAGTCATGTGTGCTGATGAAGACGGCCTTGGCTCCCAGATCATTGAAACCTTCAGGCTCCTTTCTCCCACAGTGTCCTGTCCTTCCCCTAGGACTTATGAACAAAGCTGTCCCCGGCTGCAGGACGCATTTTCCAGAGAGGCTCATGCATCTGTGCAATACTGATTATACTAATGAAAATGAAATAGGAGCAGGAAACTGAGGCCTCCACTGGCTGCCCCGTGGGTTATCCATTCCCGGGAGGAGGAGCAGTGGCTGTTGCCACCCTTCTCCGGTTTCATCTGGGAGTGAGGGACAGTTTGTGGTGGAGCGGACAGAGCTGAGGGCCAGGGCTTACGTGGTCCATGTTCAGTACTGGCACAGACCAGGGAACTAGGTAACCTGTCTGCTTAGGGAAGTCCCTGAGTGTCGGTTTGCTCATCTGTAAAATGGGGAAAAATAATGCTGGTCACAATGCTGCTGTTGTGAGGGTTTAGAATCAAATAAGGCCAAGAATTCAAGAACACTTTGAAGAACTTAAACTGTTTTTTTTTTTTTTTTT